CTGGGCCCGCCATGGCCGCATCCGAGCTCTACACCAAGGTAACGCGCGCGCCGCACGCGGGGCCGCGCCCTGGGGAGGGGTCGCGCGCTGGGGGTCGGTGGTTGTAGCATGGGGTGGGTTCTGCGGGACTGCGCCTCCTCCCTGCCCGGCTGCATCTCCCTGCCCGGCTGCATCTCCCTGCCCGGCTGCACTTCCCTACTCTGCCTCCTGGGCCCATTTCGGGTGGGATGCTCTTGGACAGATGCTCGGGCCGCTGTCCGGGGCCGCGCGCTTAAAATAACGTCCTGTGCCGGTTTGCGCCGGGCAGCCTCTCGGGGAGATGATTTCGGATTCTGCAGACGACAGGGCTAGTCCTCTTTCACCTTTAGCCGCAGGGTTCTTGCCATTGCCCTGGGGTGCGGAGCCTTCGGGAAGATGCTGCCCAGGCGATGGCGAGTTTATTCTCAGGCTCGTCGGTGGCTGGCAGTTTGCAATCTGCGCGTTATCCCCGAGAGCCTCGTTAGCTCCGCGTCCTCACCCTCCTTTCCGGCGAACCTTTCCCTTTTAGTCTTCATTTAGGGGAAGTGGCAGTCTTTTCAGTCTTAAACCTACGCCCATATTCTCTGAGTCTGGTAATCTCTCTCTGAATGGCGTATTTTGGAGAGACTTCAGAAAATCCGTATTGGCTAGTTGTGGTGTATGTAATCGTGGGATCTTGTATTATGGTTTCAATGGGCGTTTTTGCCAGCAATTGATTATTAATTAGCTCCAATTCCATTGAAAAGAATTGTCTTAACTTTTCCAGTTCACGTTTTCAAAACTGTGCCAAAATCTCTCTTCTTATCTCTGTCTGTCTCTTTGTCTTCCCCTCCGGCACTGGAGATTGTACGGCCTCAAGCGTCACAGGCAAACCCTTTACCACTCAGCTGTACATAGATAACCCCAGCTCTCTGAACTCTTCCTTTAGCATTTTAAATCTTTGCTTGCACACACGACTCCTGTAGGCCCGGAACCCAAGTTGCAGCCTACAGGAAAGAAGTCTGGATGGGACGTCCAGATCCTGCTCCTGCTTTAGACCTTTTCACCAACTGTGTGACCTTGGGCAGCCTCTCTGGTTCAGGTTTTTTTACAATCAATAGAGTTAATTGCACTTGTCCTGCATTCCTTAGGAGCTGTTGTGAGGAACCATTTTGTTTTGTTCTTTTGAGGCAGGGTTTTTCTGTGTTTCTGGGACCTGGAACTCGGTCTTGAACTCGGACATCTGCCTGCTTCTGCCTCCTAAGAGCTGGTATTAAAGGAGTGCACCATTACCACCCGGCCTTGAGAACCAAATTTAATACCAATTGTGAAAGCTTTATATTTATAATGTTTTTCAACAATTATGAGTTATCTGATTAATTTCTTCCAGCCATGAAATGAGGAGCTTGCATGAACCTGGTACCTCTTTCTTTCTAGTCCTAGATGTAAGAAGTGTACAATTAGAATGTTTCTCTAAACCTAGTAATTTCTTTCGGCATCGTAGCTCTCTAAGATCTGAGTGACTATCACTGGAAACTGATTGAGAGTTACCTTATTAACTTATATAGTACACTTGTAAGTGCTTTGCAAATATTATCTCATTTAATCCTTACAATTAATGTATAGGTAGATACAAGTATCAGGTATGTTCCTGTGAAGAGCTGTCAGTCTGTAAACATTGCTTAGTTACATTGTTCTGTCCTGTCTGGCCCCTTCCAAGGCCTTGGCCATCAGTCCCATCCTGAACCTGCTAATCGTAGGCTGATAAGTAGAAATCGGGTGGTAAGTTGTTGGACTTCTGGATCTGTTTTTGTGCCCAAAAGATAATTTGTAGGAAAAAAATTGGGAAAGGTCTTGCCATTTTTAAATGAGAAGGTTCCGAGTTTCCATCACAGCTTTATGGGTAATAAAGTTAATCTTTTAGTCTTTCTAGATACAGACTAACTCAGTCACTGAAACTGAGGTTGGGACTTTAGGGACTTTCTCCTAAAGTCACAAATACCGAAGAATAGCCTGGTTCCATAGTTATTTGTGGGCCGATTCTCTGAGTGGGCCTAAGTTTAATGACAGGCAGGGATATTTATTGAGTATCCTGATACTCTGCCTGATGTTTAGAGTTTCTAACAGTGGACAAGTCACAGCCCTTTCCCTCATAGAGTTCACAGTCTGCTTCTTATGTTCTTGAGCCACTTCGACTCTCTGAGGGCGTAAATAACCTGCTGTTACCTTAACAACAGCAGGCAGATGTGTTAGCAGGGGATGGGAAGTGTTCCGGGATGTGGCAAAGCCTAGAGTGACTCTAGAGTACTGATTGCAGTATTGACCGTTGCGATTAAATATGAAAGTGCCCCTTTAGAAGTTGGCAGCAGACCTTTAAGGCAGATTTTGATGTGTGATACAGATCAGCTCCTATTACAGTGAAGGGCATGGGACTGCTGGTCAGTTTATTTTCTTAAGTTAAAATGATAATGATTTTGTCATCACAATTTAGCAGGGTTTCCATTTCATAAAAATTTCTAGAAGTTTAAATATTTAAGAGTAGTAACTCAGTGCCTGAATATAATGCTTCTTGAGGCTGACATTTTGGTTAAAACATATTTGTTGATTTTTTTTCCCCAGAAGGTGTTGCTAAGGAGCTTTTGAATGTTTTTTTTTTTTAAATACAGCGTTATTGAGTTCCTCTGTACTGTACAATTTACCAATTTAAACTTCCCGGTTTGGTAGTTTTGGTATATTCACTGGGTCGTGTGATTTTAGGTCTACCAGACAGTTGTTATTGCCCTGAAGAGAGTTGTTAGTCTTGACTTGGCAGTAGATTTCGGTATGGCAACCTCATCTAATGATGCTTTTAATAACTTCAGAGGTTCAGCATTGTGGAACTAAGTTTATCAATGAGACTTGGAAGGATCACCTGCAGCAATTTAATTAATTGCATATTAATCAGCCATATATACCATTGATAGCACATGGGTACTTTAGAATATACAAAGGTACCTAAAGCTATTTGAGTAAAAGTCCCTGGGATATATGAAGATGCTAAGTATTTTAAGAAAGAAAAAAAATCACACGGAAACTCCAAAGCCATTAAAACTTTCCCAAAGCAAAACAGCCTTGTAGGACAGTAGATTTCATACTTGCTGCCATATTTGCCTTTTCCACATTTTCTTATATACCCACTGAAGCCATGTAATCTAGGGGTTTGTGTGTTCTGGTGTAGTTCGTTTCGATATTCAATAGCATTGTCCTCTCAAACTACCACTCCTGGAGATTCTAATATTCTGGGGTTGAAATCCATTCTTTGATCCTGTGTTGTGATTTGGAGTTTGGCAAGTACATCCTCAGTCATGATCCCTCTATGACTTTTTCTTCTGATGTCCCTGGTCTTGTTAATGGCAGTGCCCTTCTAGTTCTACAGGTTCGGAACTTCTGCATACTTTCCCTTGGATCTTATATTTTACTTCTTTACCAATTCTGGTTCCATTTGACATCCAGTTGTTAGGATTCTGAACCACTGCTAGCATCTTCTTTTTTCTGTGTCTCAGTGACCTGGGTACATTTCATCTGACTATAGTTGTATGTATGGTAACATTGTTGTAGTACTATAAGCCTCTGAGATACTGTTTTGTCCAGCTCTCATTTGTTAAATGAATGAATGAATACTTAAATAATAGGAGGTAGAGATTGAAAATTATGGCGGGGTGGTGGTGGTGCACACCTTTATTCCCAGCATTCAGGAGGCAGAGGCAGGTGGGTCTCTGTTAATTCAAGCTAGCCTGGTCTACAGAGTGAATTCCAGGACAGCCAGAGCTACAACGCAGAGAAACCCTGTCACAAAAAATGACAACAACAACAACAACAAAGAGAGAGAGAGAGAGAGAGAGAGAGAGAGAGAGAGAGAGAGAGTGAGAGAGAGAGAAAGAGAGAGAGAGAAGAATGACATGGATCAGGCATAGTGATGCCCTTTTGTAATCTAGCACTTGGAAGGCAAGGATTTACCATAAGTTCAAGAATGGCTTGAGCTATATAACAAGACACTATCTGAGAAAAAATGAAAAGCAAAGTATAAGAATGTGATGAAAGAAGTAAACACATAATAAGGCATGTTGAAGAGGATGAGTAATAGAGAGAACTGGCAGCCAGGGAGACCAAAAAGAGAGCTGTTTCAGGGACCGCAATGTGAATTGCAGAGGTCTGGTAGTCTGAGGTACGCTTAGAAAGGCTCTCAAAGAAGGAAATAAACCTGAGAGACATTCTGCGAAGGATTAGATATAGGATAAGAAGGAGAGGAGCTAAGATAAGGGCATGCTGGTAGCTCCACCTTGGAAACTAGAAGCTGTTCCTAGAGACTGCAAATGGAAAATTACTCAGAATAATTGCTTGATCAAATAATTGCTAAATTGCTTGATTAAAGCAAAGAGATGATGAGTTGATCTAGAAATTTGTCAATGTCTCTTAAATTGTGAAGGTCCTGTGTATTGTCCAGGGGCTTGAAGATTACAGAAGTGTTCTAACTCTAGTAAGAGTGCCACTCCTGGACCAGTTGCTTAAATCTTAGCTTTTTAAAGAAAGGAAAAATAGAAGCCCAATGAGGAACACACTTTGCCTGCCTGTGTGCCTGCCCTCCCTCCCTCCCTCCCACCCTTCCTTCCTTCAGTGTGGGGTCTTACTCTACAGCCCAGACTACTCTGGAACTTATCCACCTAGACTGACCTCAAATTCATGGGAGTCCTCCTGCCTTAGCCTCCTCCTAAATATTGGAATTACACACATGAGCTGCCGTGCCCAACTATGATTTGTTTCTTGCAAATATATAGCTAAACTAGAGAAATTTCAGAATGGAATGGTCAGACAAAAAAAGAAGCTAGACATATAAGAGGGATAGAACTTGAAAAATACAGGTGGTCTAGAAACATCAAGAATTAGAAATTTGGCCAGCAACATAGTTTGGTTGTTAAGGGCACTTGTCACTGAGCTTACAACCTAAACTCAATCCTCAAGACCTCCATGGTAGAATAGAGAATTGAATCTCTCAAGTTGTACC